AAATGATAAGTTTTATAATTAAGGCCTCTCAACTACATCAGCAAATGTTAATGAGTTATTCCAAGTGCTCAACAAATCAATCCTCTCTCTAAGCTCAGAAAGTGACAGATGGGCTGAGTGTACCCATATCATTTAAAACTGGTACTAATATTGTTAAGATTACATTTAGCTTTCTGTAATAATGGAGCCTTAAAACGTCTTGGTGTGTCTAAAATCACCTTTCACTCACATAATTTTACAACAGTTAGGGAAAAAGGAATAGCTGAAGAGAAGTATTGGGCTATTCTGAATGCCTATGACCTAGAACCCTCTTTTAAAAACATTTTCCCTTCTCTAAGGTGGCAGAACAAACCTCCTGACAGTGTACCCATAGGTTGACTTATCATCAGTGGTATCAGCCAAGAACACAGAAGCACTGACAGGCAGAAACCTTTATTTCATTTAGATGCTAAGAATGCTGCCAAAATAGATGATTTTGGAATCAGACAAGCCTGAGTTCTGGTCCCAGTTCTTAGACCAACAAGCTGTGTGACCCAGCATGAGTTTCTTAACCTTTTTGAGCTTCAGTTTTTCCATCTGTGCAAAGCTGATGTTCTATATATTTAAAAGGACTAAGGCAGTGCTTGGCACATAGGAGGCATTTGGCAAATTATTTTTAATGTTATTACTAGGTTAAGCTCTTGTGGAGTGAAAAAGCCAAGAGAATAAAAGACCAGTTAATAGTTGAGTTTCGGTGAATAGGTGTTCATCAATCCAAAGACTGATTCTTCCAGTTGGGTAGTCCCTAGAAGGCAAAACCAAAAAGTGGGAGCGCAATGGTCCTTGCACTCCCTCCTTTGTGGGAACCCCCTACACTCCACTGAGGCTGAACATCCTTCTACAGCCCAAGAGTCACCATTTCAGCATCTCATCAAGGCCCATGGTCCGAGTGCTGGCAGTCCCCAACCCTGGATCCTCCCCAGCTCGCCCCCACCCCACCCATCATAACTTACCTGCTCTCTGTTTAATACCTTTGCATTCATTTGCTCATGTGTGCTGACATGTAACCCTTTCTCAGAGCCTGAGCACATTTTGAGGTGGATCCCAGAGAAATAATACAAGGTGGTTGTTTCATAGGCAGATGTGTCCGTGGCAATAATAACAGGAGCCAGTAAGCTGAGTGCTTCCTCTGTGTTAAGCACCACGGCACCGTGCTTTAGAAGTATAATCTCACGTAAGCCCCACAACTTCCCGTGAGCAGGTCTTATCACTGTCTCCATTTCACAGATGAACAGACTGAGGTTTAGAGAGGTAAAGTAACTTGGCCTAGGACAACCAATCCACTGGGAGGAGGCAGTGCTGGAATTCACCCCCAGGCCTGTCTGACCCCAGATCTGCTGCTCCTCACGGTTTTGTGCTGCTGGTGCAGGCAGGTCCTGGGTACTCATGAGTAGTTCCAACCTCCTTAAGCTTGATCCTGCCCCCAGGACCCAACTGACATCCTGCTTTCAATCAAGTTAGTCACAATCAAATTAGTTGGGAAACAACGAACAGAGGTATTGGGAAGGTCAGAGAGAGACACGCTGGCCGCTGGCCTCCAGTCTACCCCTAGGCTAGACATTGCTCCTGGCCTAGAAGACTCTGGGCCTCTGCATGCCCAGGCTGCCTTCTCATTTCCAGCACCCACCTAAACACCAGATTCCCCAGGATCTATATTTGCAAGGGTCCTAATGGATGGATGGAGGAATAGTTGGAGGGAAAAACTATTTATGAATATTTTATTATATTCATTATTTATTATTATTTTTTTAGCTTGATGTGTTTTATTTTTGTTTATGTCTAAATTTTATTTTATTGTTTAAAGTATTACAAATAGTAGTACATATGTCTCCTTTTTTTCCCCATTGACCTCCCCCAGGCCTCCCCTACCCCCTGGCACTGCCCTCCCCTCCCCCCCCCCACAGTGTCTTGCGTCCATTGGTTATGCTTATATGCATGCATACAAGTCCTTTGATTGATCTCTTACCCCCCCCCAACCCTCCCTTGCCTTCCCACTGTAGTTTGACAGTCTGTTCGATGCTTCTTTGACTCTGTATCTATTTTTGTTTTTATATGTTTTTTAAGTTGACTTTTAGAGAGAGGAAGGGAAAGGGTCAGAGAGATAGAAACATCAATGTGAGAGAAACACCCATCGACTGCCTCCTGCACAACCCCTACTGGGGATTAGGCCTGCACCCCATTCATGTGCCCTGACTAGAAATTGAACCATCAACCTCTTAGTTCACGGGTCAGCACTCAACTGCTGAGCCACACTGGCTGGGCATTTATTATCTACTAGAGGCCTGTTGCACGAAGAGATTCGTGCAATAGGCCTTCCTTTCACCTGGCTGCTGGCACCGGTTTTCCTCCGGCACCTGGGACCAAGGCCTTCGCTCTGACCAGGGCTCTGGCCAGAGCCGGCCCCGGAGCCGTCAGACCTTACTGCTCTGCCCCCTGGCCATCAGGCTTCGCTCCACCACTTGGAGCCTATGTATGCAAATTAACAGCCATCTTTGTTAGGTTAATTTGCATACTCTCCTGATTGGCTGGTTAGCGTAGCGAAGGTATGGTCAATTAGCATCGTTGTCTGTTATTAGGTAAGATTATTGGATCAGATTCCAAAGTCTAAATCTAAAAGAAAAAAATCTGTGAAGCTTCTTGTGCAGCAACTCTTCCAAAAATGGAGTAATGAATCTCCCAATAAAGTTGTATATATTCCCAGGAAATATTCTTCTTTGTTTGGTCTGCAAACTGTCGTGTGCCTGTAGAACAGCATTTTCTCAGTAGCAATCTAAATGTTGCATCCTCATTGAGCGCAACTCACAGTCATCAGGTAGTAAGAGATAATAGCTAACAGTGGTCACAGTAACAGTAATTCATTGTTCTACACTTACTGAGGGCTTTCCATGCACTAGGTGATAGCACAGGTTCTACCTGTTACAGATGGGGGTGGGCACTCTTGTCACCCCTGTTTACATTGAGGAAACTTGGGCACAGAGAGGTTAAGTGGTTTGTTCAGAGCCATAAAGTTAGTAAATGATAAAACTAGGATTAAACCCAGGCAGTCTGGCTTCTAATTTTATTTCCTTGTACTATTAAAACAACCAGTCTTCTTCTATCTGATTATCAACTAAATCATTTTTATATTTTGGCAAAGAAGGCCAATGCTAAAGTGTATTTGGTACTTTGAGCAGCTCACGAAGCCCTATTGCAGAGAGTGAGCGCAGTAGTCTCCCAGGCGGGCTGCCCACGAGGATGGTGACTTGGAACTAAAGATGAGGGAAATTGTGCCAGCGTTTCTCACCACTCTAATAACTGCATTACCTTGACAATATGCTCCTCTTGGTTACACTGATACAACTTTTTTTCCACAAAAAATATTCTTAGTCTAAACTTTCTTTGGGTACTTTTGAAAGGTCATGACAGAGAGGAAAAGAAAAAAAAACCCACTAAAATAACAAGTGACCTCCAAATTAAAATACATGGGGATCTTTTCACCTCAAATTCAAACTCAATAGACCAAATATTGACTGAATTGTCTATTTTAGTGCAAAGTTTACAGAAAGTTTTTCTGTCTCTGCTACTTGCTTTCAGCCAAAACTTAAATTTATTGAGAATCCTATGGTGGAAAATTTTAATTCGAATTTCTCATTGGTATTCTCTCTGTAAATCGAATCTTGAGTACGAGTTCAGTGGTAGCAGAGCTTATATTTCCAGAGGGTTGGGGCTTACAGTTTACAGTGTTAAGTCTTTCACTGAAAGAACCTTGAAAGTGTGATCAACACGATTGTTACCTGGTTTTCAATAATAACAACTGTAAACTTGCCCATTCCTTTGCATTTAATTTTCCATGCTTATCACATGGCTCTGTACCATAGACATGATCTCTTAGAACTTTAGAGAATTTCTGAAGCCAGGAAAAAACCAAGCAAACAACAACCAGTCACTCTTCTGTTCCACTAAACCTGACCCAGTGTTCTGCCTGATTCTAATTACCTTCAACAATTTACCCAGGATGCTTCAGTGTAACCACCTGGAAAAATGAGGGTGGAACTTTGATTCTGGGAGGCATATGGAAATTTAATTACTAGGTTTACAAAGTATTTTAAAATCCCCAGATAAAAGTGACCAGAGGACTGGAGAGGAATATCATTATTCGCAGCAGTGGGGTTATATGTGTGTGTGTGTATGGGGTGGCTGTCAGCCCCATCCTCTGCAACCAGCCTCAAGGGGAGATGGAGAAAGAATCATTTATTCACCTTCTGGCTGCAAGAAGTGCAGGCTGCAGCTGTGGCAATTCTAGCACCGAGGAGAAAATACACATAGGAAAAAAGAAGGCCATGTCTCACTTCCAAATTAAAAAAAGACATTTCTACATGTTTCCATAACCCACAGACTGCTGCCATTTGAGGCCAACCCCTCAAAGTTTCCCTCTTTGTCTAGTGTAGTTGCTGAATCTAGGCCACTGTCAGCAATCCTTTTCATTCACCCGGGCCCAGCCCCACGCCTCACAGATGCAGAGGTTCTCTTGAGACATGTGTACTTTGGTATCAAACAATGCAACTCATGTTTGATTTTGGATAACCTTGCACTGTGAATAAAATAACCCTTGAGAAAGAAGCAATAAAAGCGCTGTAAGAAAAATGACTCATGTTTCGAAGCTGTCTAAAGTGATCACTTATCCAAACAAATGGTAATTCTTTCAAGACACAGTGGGCATGCACCATACTTATAAAAGTCTGGGAGAAAAGCCTTGCACATTTTTTAAAAAAATTTGTGTTAAAATATATCAAAAGAATGTTTCTGGTAGGCTGTCCCAGACCGGGTATGCTTAAAAATAAAAACAAAAACCACATGCATGCGAAAGCCAAGGTGGATTGGCACAAGGGGAGGTCCTTGCCCAGCATCCGGGCTCCTTGGCTTGTTTATGTCCTTGTTTATGCGCCTCTAATTGTTTTCCATTTTCTGCCCCCATTCGTTAGAGTGCAAAGATGTGAGCAAAGTGGCTTACTGCCCGTTGGTGTACAAGTTCCAGTTCTGCAATCGAGCATACTTCAGACAGATATGTTGTAAGACCTGCCAAGGACAGTGACCCACGGAAAGCCGGAGAGAGAGCCTTGTCATTTCATCCTGGAAACGTGTCCATCACAGAGAGCCACCCGGAGGAAGAGGATTGATGTCCTTGCAGATGCATTACCCTGTGGAAAACGTAACCACTGGTCAGCCCTAGCTGACAGGATTTCAATATTATTTTAACTTCTGTGAAGTAGGATTTATTGATCCAAAGTGCTGGACACAGTTTTAGGAGGGAATGCCAGATTGGAGAGATCCAAACAACACAGGGAGACTTGCTTACTGTGGAACGTTTGTGTTCTTTCGAGTAAATCCAATAGCCTGTTTACCTCCTTGGACCATTAAGATAATTTTTATTATAGACTTAGCAATGACACTGAATCCATTTGTATTTAAAACTGTTTAAAAATGTAGCTGGTATGATTTGGTCAACTATGGAAGTAAAGAAGATTCAGAAATCTTAAATCATAGCTTAAAAAATATTTACTATACTTTATCTCACTACAACAGCACCACCATTTAAATTCTAAACTGGGCTTTAACCTGTAATTTAAGGAGCAATTATAAATCAAGACTAATGAAAGTTTGTATGATTTTTTTTCTTCCTTCTACTTAATTTCCTTAGAAATAATCCCCCTGTTCTGAACACTGCTGTGAGCCATATATAAAACTACATTAAACCGAACGACAGTGAAGGACTTAGTTGAAAGCAGTGCCTCAGTTACTGCAGCTGTGCAGCTCTATAAATTCAGTGCTAAAAGACTGTGGCCCGCCTGCCATTGTGCAAGTGAAGCTGAGATTCTCATTAACACTTTAAGAGAAAAAACATTTCAATGTCATGCAGAAGCCAGACCTGGGGTATGGTAGAGACTCAAGTACCAGGTCTTGTGCTGCCATCACATAGGGATGCCTCAGCTCTTAATAGGAGTCACTCCAACTCACTCGTGTTTACAGCCACAGAACGGCTTCTGCCCCACTGGTTGGCTGCACCTACACTAAGCTTACTGAGACGATACCAGGCAAAAAAGATAGACTGGCTCAGTAACAACCAGGCAGACCCTTTTGCTGACAGTTACGATGGGTTCCAGATGTCCCTTCTTTGATATGGCAGGAGGGCATTTATTTATATGGGAGCAAGTGTGTGTGTGTGTGTGTGTGTGTGTGTGTGTGTGTGTGGGCGCTTTTGAGTGTGTGGGTAGATGAGTGTGCTTGCACGTAAACGTGCTATTTCTCTGAGTTTTAAAGTAGGCAAGGGATAACAACCAAAGAAGAAAAACTCATGAGGACTAGAGATCATAAAGCCTAATTTTAATAGTCACTCAACCAAGTATTTTATATTTTTTATGGTTATTCTGAACAGCAACTAAATGTGAAACCCAGTTTCTTGAGCAGGTCAAATTCTAGAATCAAATCCACCTAATTTAAATTGACTAGCTCACACATTCCCTATCCACAAGTTTCACATCATGCTCATCAAAACCCATGACAGTGAAATTTAAAAAGAAAGAAAGAAAGAAGAAAAAGGGTACTTGTTTATATGAATATTTTGTACTTGAACACTTGTAGCTTGCAGCAGGTTCCGTTGAATGTGCTCTGTGTCCTACACATGTGTCCACCATGCTACACCGACACCTCACACTCCAGCCAAATGGCTACTCTGTAAAGATACTACTTGCAGTTGAAGAGCATATCTGACTTACATCCATCACTATGCTCTGAGACTCCACGTCAGGTGTACCATGACTTGATGGGGGTGATTAGGTGCTTTCAGAAAGGAAGAGAAACTCACAGACTCCAAAAACGAACCTAGATTTCAGTCGTGCTGTGGAGAGTCAGCATGGGATGGGGTTCTGCACACTCAGTCGTGCTCATTTGTCTCTCATCACTTGCTTTCTCAACCCCAGAGCTCATGTCCCTGCGCTTTCCAGGGAGAGCTGTTGACAATACTTGAGAGTTGCTGCCAGGGCCCCTGTCCATGCTGCCTCAGAATACTGCCCAGGTGCCGTCTTAGCCATTCAGCAAAGGGAGGGCCAGGGGCCCCAGCACTGAATTCCCATGGTGCTTTGCAAAGAGCAGTTAACTTGGTGCTAATCTGGTGAAATAGCCAAAAGATGAGTGGTTTCTGTGGCATTTTAGGCACAGGTTTGCCATCAGGATCTGCTTTTCTCCAACATAAATATCAGCTCATATGTTTATTTAAACAGATTTCTTACATTATTTGATTAAGGGCTATTTTTTTTTTTACCTCACTTGGAAACGAACATTGCGAGGGCCATCCTCCCGGGCACCAGGCACCCCTGACTGGTTGTGGAAGAGGAGGGCAGCCAGTGCCCTCTGGGGTGTGCACAGCACCAGGGGGCTCCCAGGGCCAGCATCAGGTCACCTTCTCAGAAGGAACCAAGCACAGAACGTAACAGGACTAAACATTTCAGATAGGCCCTGAATTACAATCCGAGTGAGGAAAAATGTCACATTCCACAGCACACCACAATACGCTGCTGCTCTGTAGTCAACCGCGTGGCTACATACGCTCTTTTCCTAAATAGTAACAGCAGGATCGTCAGTGGAGGCTGAGCCCCCATGGCAGGCCCTCCAAAAACAGTGAGCTCTATAGACTACTTAGGGAACCCCAAGGAAGCTGGTACCCCGTGGCTGAGAGCAGTATCTGCCACTGGCAGAAAAGCCTACTCAAAACTGAAAGGGAAATATCCCCAACTGATTAAACCCCTTGAAACACATATGATTCCCTGATCAGTTCATTTCATTAGGAATCTTTTATTTGAGTGAATGTCACATAGGTATCCTTAATAATACAGAATGAAATTACCTTTGTATTATTGTGATTAGTTGTTGCTTATTATTTTGTACTCAGTATTAATGTGGTACACTGTTACTTATTTTTTTTTTTTTGCTTTTGTAAATTATATTCTAATTTATTGCCATGTTTCCTAACACTTGTCCTTCATTCATTCTCCTGCTTGTAATGAAAATGAGAAGTCATTGTAACACTTGATGGAGTGAAATTCCACACCAGGCACAGATTTTTTATTAACATAGATAATTTAGTAAAAATAAAAATTCAGCTTGTAAGAATGATTCCAATGGAAGTTGTCTATTTCTTTCTTTTTTAAATATATTTTTTATTGATTTTTTTACAGAGAGGAAGGGAGAGGGATAGAGAGTTAGAAACATCGATGAGCGAGAAACATCGATCAGCTGCCTCCTGCACACCCCCTACCGGGATGTGCCCGCAGCCAAGGTACATGTCCTTGACCGTCATCGAACCTGGGACCCTTCAGGCTAATGCTCTATCCACTGAGCCAAACCGGTTAGGGCAATTTCTTGAACAGCTGGTATTAAACTTGCAGGAGCTATCCCTTGGAATACCACAGCTACATTATCCTAGTTTTCCAGGTAGTTATCCAGGATTGAGTTAATTTATTGAGTCCTTGTCACCTTCCCCAGAGATTGCACCTATTTATTATTATTATTGATTTTAGATAGGAAGGAAGAGGGAGATAGAAACATCAATGATGAGAGAGAATCATTGATTGGCTGCCTCCTGCAAGCCCCACACTGAGGATTGAGCCCACAACCCGGGCATGTGCCCTGACCGGGAATTGAACCATGACCTCCTGGTTCATACGTTGATGCTCAACCACTGAGCCATGCTGGCTAGGCTGCACCTGTTTGTATTTCAGTAATATCTAAATGCAAGGGCTTTGGATATTTTTGGCAGGGCTATATCGTCAGATGCCATCAATCAGCTATTCTAAGACTAGAGAAGTCCAGATTGGCCACAGCCACATACCTTTGGTCACTTGGATTACAACTCTTTTGCCCCCTCCTTTTTGCCTTCCATGTAAATAAAGAATGCATGCCGAACAGAAGAATGCATACTTGAAGGTTTCTACTAATAGTCAACGAGGGGAGCATAGAAGCATGAGAGGTATGTTTTCCCACCTTCAGACATGCAGTCTTCGCTGAGCTGGCTCACTGTCATATGCAAAGGAAACTCAGCAGCCAACATGCTGCTTAGCTATTTGAGTCCTTTCATAACGACAGCTCCATAGATTACATAAGAAGACGTGGAAAGCCTGAGCATGGTGGCGCTTTAATCCTCTTACCCCCAAGCCTCATACATACACATTCAATCTTACACATCAGAAGAAATCAGGTGAGATGATAGGTCATCTTGGGGAGTATTTCCCCAAAGTCATCCTGGAAGCCAAAAGTGGCTGAAGTTTTGTGAAAGTTCAATTAATGAGAAGACCCTGGGACCCACCGTTTTAACTTCCCACTGCATTTTCTAAGAGTAATTCTGCTAGGGGTGGGGAGGGGGAATACCAAGAAACAAGGCCTGCCTTAGCTTAGATTCTTCAGATTTGAGTCTATCTTTTCACCTACAGTGGTTTTCAAGTTTTCAGTTAAATGTTTTATCGCCCCCCCCCCCACCTCTTTGAAATGACTAAAGGGCACTATCCTGCTTAGGGCACTGACCCCACAACAATCTACCTCCCTCCCTGGAGGTCTGCCACTCTCTGGAGAGCACCAAGATCATCCCTTAAGACTTTATGCTCCAAAAGGCCAGGTGACTTTTTTTTCAAGGAAATTAGAAAGTAAGTTGGGTATTGATCTTGGCAAGAAAAAATGTGTGAATTTATTTGACTAGGATAAGATTCATTACTTTATTTTTTAATCCTCACCCGAGGATATTTTTCCCATTGATTTTTCTAGAGATACTGGAAAGGATTGAGAAGGGGAAGAGAGAGAGAGAAACATGGATGTGAGAGAGACACATTGATTGGCTTCCTCCCGCTTGCTCTCTGGCTAGGGCTGGGATCAGAACCTGCAACCGAGGTATGTGCTCTTGACCAGGAATCAAACCCAGGACCCTTCTGTCTGTGGGCTGACACTCTAATCACTGAGCCAAACTGTCTAGGGCGAACTTCCATTACTTTTAAAAGAAGGGGAAAAGTGTAATTCAAAAATAAAAAACAATGGTCACAGCCCACAAGGACTGGAAGATTCTAAGTAAGTGGTCACAGGAAAGAGAAAAGATCAGCCATGGAATAAAAAAGTGACGGAGAAGCTGTGTTTGGAATTCTGTCTCATTAGTATGTATGATTAGAATGTGTGGAATAAACTAACATAGGTTTTTGGTTTTTTTTAAAGAACAGCTGTTTCACAATGGTTTTATGCCTCAGACTTGAAAACCTCAAGCTAGGACTTAAAAGGAAAATGGTCTTTTCTCCCATCGCTTTCTGAGGGGGTTATTTCTGGCATTCCCTGCCCCTCGTTTTACCCTCAGATAGATAGTACCTGGGGCCAGAAATGGAACAGGTTCGAGGACTGGCTTCACTCTCAGAGGGAACCAAGATTAGGCCTGTATTGTCTTTTGGTGGATGGCTCTCCTTAGCCCACTGGAAACCTTGAGCTGCATAGGTGATGACAGCTAATGTCCACGGCAGCATCCTGTGTTCACGGGAACGACACTGTAGTTACACAAAGGCCTGGGAGCACCAGGCAGGAACAAGCTCCCCAGGTGATAGAACATCATGACCAGTCAGATTCCACT